ATTGTCAAAGGGAAGAGTCTGACCTACCTAGGAAATGCTTTTAATCAGTTTCGTTCCGGAAATAACTATGGAAATTCAGTCGCGTCCATTCTGCTGCCTCTGGACGTTACATTACATCACATGGTGACTGAGCCCCCCTTCCCCTGCCCCCTCCCCCCCATTGCTCAACATCCTCATGAGAGGGGCAGAAATGCTGTGATTGGCAGCTGAGACTGTGATGGACAGCCATCCCAAATCCCACATGGGAAGGCTCTGACAACATAAGCCTCTGAAATGTGAGCTAAGAAAAAGAAACCCAAATGGCGCCCTGCTTTTCACATCTCATAAGAGAACTGCATCTTCCTCTTCCACTCAGCGTCCTGCCCCAGGGCCACCCATCTCATGACCCTCGGAAGCCAGGTCAGGGTGCAGCGATAGCCAGACTCAGCCAACCCCACTGCCAGCCATCAGACAGACCTGCCAAGCCTGAGGCACACCAAGCAGGATACACTTTGGTTCAACAGAACCAAACAGCCTGTTAGGTCAGCACTGAGCCACAGAGAAGTGAATCACGTCTCCCACCCCTCATAAAAGGTTGGGCAATATTTTAGGAACAGCCTGCATTCCTGTGCAGGTTTCAAAGCAAGCTGGTCTTTCTTCCATCTGTCCACTCGAGAAGTAATCTTAAGGGAAGGAAGCTGAGATTCAAGGAAGAACTTCTCGCCAGCATTACGGAGCTAACAAGAAGCAAATTGGATCAATCACCCTGGCCCAGCACTGTGCCGTCGGCCACTCTATCTGGCTCTTACGCTTTCTCTGGGCCCTTTTAAGCTAAATATGTTAAATGTTAAAATGAAATCGAAAACCTCCCATGTGTATTTAGAATGTCAGCTACAGCCTAATTGGTGTGTATCTATTCCATGCACACATCTTTGATGCAAACTTCTCAGGCACCAAATCATGGACTGAAGCATATTCAGACACACATGAACATCTTGGCACGAATCCCACACTCCAGCTAGTTCTAAGTGTTGCCTTACCTCTTAGCTGGAGTCCTGCAGGGTCAAAGGATAAAAGAGAAGCTCAGCTCTGGCCACTCCGGGATTGGCGAAGGCCCTGCCAGGAAATTACTCAAGTCTCAGTGGTTGGAAATGTCCGCAGCCAGGTCTCTTCACTCCACCGACATCTGGGCCCCGGCTGTTTCTATGACTGGGCTGTGCTAAGCCTGTGTTCCTCGGGGTGCTCCGCAGGGCCCCTGGTCTCCACCCCCTGGATGCTGACCCTCTCTGTGCGTTTTGCCTAAATCACATCAACCAAACATGATTCCTCCCGTTTCCAAGTGTCTCCTGGGGACAAAACCACCCAGTGGGGACAAAGCCACCCAGTGGGGACAAAGCCACCCAATGAGAGCCGCTCACCGCACACAGGTGCGAGGCCTGTCCTTTGGTTACTACCTCCAGGCAGCTTAGTTGCTGGGTATGGAAAGAGTCTTATTGCTGTCCTTCTCAGGGCTAAGTACTTTTCTTCTTTTGGGGGGAGAAAGCCAGGGCACACCCATGTAAGTGAGGCACCTGGAGCCAGGGGGAATGTTCCTGGAGCTGACCCCCGCGTGTGCCCCATGGTGGCCTCCTCCCTCTGCTTCCCACTGGAAAGGGAGGGTGTGGAGGGAGAGGACCGTCCCCCTCGGTGGGGTGGGGTGGCCATTTCTCTCCCGCCTCCCAGCTCCCACCCTCAGCTTGGGGCCCCAAAGCAAGCCTCCTGGGGTCCAGCCACCCTCGGTTGCTTCAGTACTGAGGGCTTTGTGGCTTGGGGAGGCTGGTGTTTGTAACAATCAGCTTTTCAAAAAAGGTGCAGGGGTGGGGGTAAGCGGGGGAAGAATCCTCAGTGGCAGAAGAAGAATCCTCAGTGGCAGAATTTCAAGGCCTCTGCTCTCTGGATTCCTGAGACAGGGGGTCAAAGATCTCTGTGGCTCCCCTTTCCCCCAAGCCCCACACCTGCCACAAGCCTGTCATCCATTAGGTGAGACACCATTTTTTTCCATCTTAAGGGAGTGCTCCATCAGGCCACATCCCCTGCAAAGGTGCTCCTCTCTCCTCTTCAGAGTCAGTTTGGAGAAGGACACGGCAGTCCAAATCAAAGCTCAAGTTTGGGAGAGCAGATAACGAGATCAATTTCACACATCTTTCAGGCCCTGGCAAAATAAAGAAGGCGAATGCTAGGGGGAAAAAAAAGGAGAAAGAATGAATGTAGACATTTGGGTACCTCCCAAGATGAAGCCTGAACCTTGGACACAGCAGACCCTAGAGAGGTGTCAAGGGCCTGGGGCAGCCCTGGTCCTGTAGAGAGATGGAAAATCCCCTCCCTCAATGCAAACGATGTGGGCTGGCGATGCCAGGTTCTGCGCTTCCTTTGTGTTCCCTGCCCACTTGTGCACGGTAGTGTGGGAGGAAGCAGCTGGTGACTGAGCTGGGCTTCAGAGGGTGAGAAAGCAGAAAGGGGCACGGCTTTCCCCTGGGTACCCCAGGGACCCCGAGGCAAGGAACAGCAGCCTCTTCTCCGGCACAGGGGCGACCCGGGAGGCTCGCATGAGGACCAGGAAGGCAGGGCCTTCTTCGAACAGGATGCCCACCACAGCTCCCTGTAACCGCTGGCCAGGGCTGGAAGGGGGAACTATTGGAAGGGGACGGGTCTCAACACGGAACAAAGCTGGATTATTTGTCAGTGTCACAGCTACCACACAGCTGAGCTGTGAACAACTTCCCTCCATCCCCCACCTCGCCTCCCATGAGTTTGCTACACGGAGCACGCGTTTCTGTCTGAACCGGACCTCAGAAGCCGCAGCGCAAGGATGAGGCCCCTTTCACTGTCGGGGCCACACTCCGAGTGGTACTTTCCCCACCTCAAGTGGCCTTTTTTTTTTTTTTGGTTGTTAGTCACGGGGCTTGAACTTGGGGCCAGGGTGCTGTCCCTGAGTTCTTTTGCTCAAAGCTAGCACTCTACCACTTTGAGCCACAGCACCACTTCCAGTTATCTGGTGGTTAATTAGAAATCAGAGTCTCACGGACTTTCCTGGCCAGCCCAGGCTGGCTTTGAACCACAATCCTCAGAGCACAGCTTCCTGAGGAGCTAGGATGACAGGTGTGAGCCATCTTCTTCCTTTTCTTCCTGTATGTCAGCATTTCACCAACTCTTGTGCCAATTATCCATCAGGTGTCATCATCCTGTCAGGTCACAGGCTGTTTCTCCCGTGGCCAGGTGTACAAGCACGGGTATCCAGCATGTATTTAAAACAAGCTGTGCACCCAGTACTGGTGGCCCACATCTGTACTTCTATCTACTGAGGAGGCTGAGATCTGAAGGTCACTGTTCAAAACCAACCTGAGCAGACGAATCTGCAAGGGATTTTTTTAAAATCTCCAATTAATCAGCAAAAAGCCAGAACCGGGGTATGGCTCAACTAGTAGAGTGCCGGCCATGAGCGGGAAAAGCAGAATGAGAGTATGAGCCCTGAGGGCAAGCCCCAGTACTAGGGCTTGCAGTTAACACGTAGTTCTAGGCCTGAATTTATGGAGAAGCCAGCACACTCTCAGGACAGCGGAGTCCTGCCTCCGTGTAGCCAAGAGGCTACACGGAGCTGTAGGCACAGAAGAGCCACAGATGGCCATCCCGCAGAAGCTCGGGGACAGGCCAGCTTCACAGACTGCCTCTGCAGGCCTCAGGTCAGGTGATCGGCACGGGAGCCTGTGGACAAGCCAAAGGTGAGTGCTGGGCCCGCCAGGGAGCTGGGACTGGCGACCTTGCAGGGAATTCCACGCGTGTGGCCTCACTACGCTCAGAGCCGCAGCCCAAGGTCCCCAGGGCCCACAGAGCACGTCCGCCGTGAGCACCTAGAGTTTGTTTCAGGATCATAGTTCACTGTTTTGAGTTTTGGTGTGTGTGTGGTGTGTGTGTGTGTGTGTGTGTGTGTGTGTGTGTGTGTGTGTGTGTGTGTACCAGTACACGGGTAATTCTCTTCAGCCCAGCCTTTTCTGCCTTTTAGTTACCTACATTTTAAAAATAAGGCACAGGTAGCTCACACCTGTAATCCTAACTACTCAGGAGGCTGAGATTTGAGGATCCAAGTTCAAAGCCAGCCCAGGCAGGAAATGTCTGTGAGACTCTTACCTCATATTAACCAGCAAAAAGGCAGAAGTGAGCAATATGCTCAAGTAGAAGAGCACCAGCCTTGAACATAAAAAGCTAAGTCACACTTAAAGGCCAGAGGTCAAGCCCCTGTTCAGGCACCAAATAAACAAACAAACAAACAAACAAACACATATAATTTTTAAATTGCAAACTGTAACTTCAAGGGACTTTCCCTGTATTCTATCATATCATTGGGTACTGTTGTTAATGCCTAATTATTGTTGCTACATCTAAGTCAACCACTAATCATCACACCATTACATGGATAGAGAAAAAACATAGAAAATATAGGACTTGGTATTTTCCGAGGATTTGGGCATCTGTCAGGTCTTGAAACTTCTCTCCGTGGGTAATGGCAGAGGGGCTCTGTAATCGGCAAGGTCTTTTCTAAGTGAAAAGTCTGCAAAGGTAGCCTTGGGCTCTGCAAGCGTCTGTAGCAGGAAACAGCAAACAGGGCTCATGCTGCAGACCCTCTGCAGGGAAGGTGGCCTGGGAAGCGGGCACAGACCCCGCCCCGGGCCCTCACTCCACCCCAGGCAGACAGCAGGCCTCAAACATCTCCAGCCACACTTGTGGCTGCCAACGCCCCCCCTTCTCCTACAGCCATCACAGCCTGGAAAGCCTTGTAAAGAACAAAGCAAGCACTGGCCCTGTCTGCCCTCCCTCCACCCTCACCCAGGGTCTGGCTCTCGGCTGGCTCAGTCTTCACGCATGTTCCCCCAGCCTGCCCGGGCACACGCAGGCACCCATGCACTGCAGTACCATCCGTACATCTCCACACGCATCACCTTACACGCCTGCCAAGCACGCTTCTAAAACAGAGGCACATATGCAGTTTTAGGAAACAAACATCTTTATTTAAAAAAATAACTTACAAACTGAGAGAACACTCTGTTCTTCTTGTTCCATTTTAAATGTCACTTTACAACACTACTAATGTCACAAACTGCGCTACAGAGCAGTTTTTGTTCTGTATCCTGTGCCGGTACAAAACACCACACAGATATAAAACTATTGTAAATAAAACACTTCAGCCAAGACTGGCATATATTTATATATATATATATATATATTTATATATTTATATTTATATATATATAATCTCATGTCAGCTAACAATTACTGCATCCTTAGTCAAAACCAAAGTCAAACTAATCTTCAAACTCTAACAATCTGAGTAAGCCAACACGACCCCTCCCGTACAACTTTTAAAATATATTTAACCTTTCAAATACGTTTGGAAGGTTTAGCAATAGTGAGAAAATAAAAGTCTTAAAACTTAAATACAAACCGCCATATTATAAGAACAATTCAGGACACGAAAGGTTCTATGGTACAGGTGTCCCGGTGCGTCTGTCCTGAGCTGACTCTGATCCACACTCCGGCCTGCTGCTGCGCTACTGGCGTGCACAGCAGAGTGGCCGCCACCCTGGTCAGTGTGAGGCAGACGGGAGGGAAGCAGGGGGGGCCCATTTCCTCAACGCGTCCCCCACGCATCCACGCACCCCCAGTTTCCTGCACCCCGGGAGTTCACATGTCCCCGGGCCTCTGCGGGGCGGTGTCACTTGGTGTTCTGCTCCAGCGCTGAGTACTCGGTCTCTGACACCCTGGAGGCATCGATGAGTTTGGTGAGGCCGGTTTTGGCCGAGTACTTGAAGATGAAGGCCTTCATCAGCTCGTACCTGTAGTTGCGGTTGATGAAGCTGTAGAGCACTGGGTTGACGCAGCAGTGCACGAGCGACAGGCACTGCGTGACGTGCAGTGCGGTGAAGAGCGCGTTCTCCAGCTGGCAGGTGAAGGGGATGTAGTGCAGGATGGAGAAGACGTCCAGCAGCACCACCACGTGGTACGGGAGCCAGCACACCAGGAACACCACCACGTAGGAGAAGATGATCTTCCGGCTACTGTGCTTCTCCTGGTCGCCAGACGCCGAGATGGCTCTGGCGAGCAGGAAGTAGAAGACGGCGATGACGGAGAAAGGGATGGCGAAGCCCAGGACCACGGAGACGAGCTCCATGCCGATGAGCCATTCCTTGATGCTGTGCTCTGGGTAGAAGGAGCGGCAGTAGGTCTCGTTGTTCGAGGCGGAGGTGACGGTCTTCAGGTAGTAGGTGTCCGGCAGCGACACACAGAAGGCCAGCAGCCACACAAGCACACAGACCACGCGGCGCACCGTTTTCTTCCGGCAGCTGGAGGTGTTGGCGAAGTAGGTGATGGAAAGGTAGCGGTCCACGCTCATGCACGTGAGGAAGAAGATGCTGCCGAAGAGGTTGATGGAGAAGATGAGGTGCGTGACCTTGCAGGTGAGCTCGCCCATCGGCCACTGGTTATGCTGCACCAGGCTGACCACCCAGACCGGGATGGTGATGACCACCCACAGGTCAGCCACGGCCAGGTTCAGGATGTAGCAGTGTGTGTCGTAGCCCGTGGTCTTGGCCTGGATGTTCACCCAGACCACCACGGAGTTGGCGATCATGCCGATCACGAAGATGAAGATGTAGATGAAGGACAGTGTGTAGAGCAGGACGCTCTTGTTGGGCATGGCGGGGCACTGCAGCGTGTCCACCACGATGCAGTCGCTGCTGTTACATGGCCAGGTGATGTCGGAGTAGTTGCCAGGCTCCGCGTAGTCGAAGAGGTGCAGGTCCATGGTGCGTGGGGAGGGAGGGGCCGGAAGACCTGCAGCAAACACAAAGGATGGAGCACCGCGTTAGGACAGACGCAACTTCCGATCGATGCTCTCAGCAGATCTGCTCTCGCCAGATGGCATCTTCACCAAGAAAGGAGAAAAGAGGTCTAGCACTTGGTGACTCACACCGATAATCCTAGCCACTCAAGAGGCTGAGATCTAAGGACTATGAGTCCAAGCCAACCTAGGCAGGAAAATCCATGAGACTCTTGTCTCCAAATAACCATCAAAAGGCCAGAAGTGTACATGCGGCTCAAGTGGTAGAGCACCATCCCTGATAAAGCTAAGCCAGAGCATGAGGACCTGAACTCAAGCCCCAGCACAGACAGACAGACAGACAGACACACACACACACACACACACACACACACACACACACATACACACACACACAGGAAAGAAAACAACCCTAAGACATCTGTGCAAAACAAAATAAAACACACCCAGTCTCAATCCACATGGCACTCTGGGAGAGAGTCCTGTTTGTTTTCTAAATCTATTCATGGCTGTGTTCTGGAGACATCATCAGCCTGGCTGTGCCCAGAGTGTGAAATCAACATGGTACAGGGGCCAAAGAAACGTCAGGCGGCACAGCCAGGGTCTTGGTAACGCGGATGGCCCGCCCATTCTCAGCAGGGGACTGGGGAACCCATTTACCCACATCCCCCAAGAAAGGCAGGGCTGATCCGCTCCTGGCAGGCTGACCAACAAGGGTCCCCCTGTGGCATCTCAATGAAAGCATTTCAAATCCTCTTCCAAATGTGACTTGATGCTTTTCACCTTTCCAGAAAACCCTTAGACAAACCTGGGTCTTGGGCCAAAAAAGCCACTTGAGAAACAGGGAACTTATGTGCAGTGTCCAGCTCCATTGCCTGCACCCCAAATCTTCACACTAAGGGTTTGCTGTGTGACCTCCCATGGGGAGCCGACCAATCAGGCCCTTCTCCCCGGCTTCCCTGCCTTTATTTGTTAGCCTGCTTTAAGAGCAGCGTGTGCCAAGGCCCGAGGCTGGGAAGCCGCCACCTGCTGCCTTTCTGGAAGGAAGCTGACCAGCCTGCCCCCTGACTTCCCTGCCCCCCGACAAGGGGCCAAAGTGCTGTCACCATCGCACAGCCCCAGGTAAGGCTGTGTCTGGGAGTTCTCCGCAGCACAGCGGGAGCCCCGGGAGCTGTTTTCTGCTGTCTGTCTCTTTGACGGCCCCCAAATCCCACAGTCCTGGGACGGCTGTCCTCCCCGCCCCCACCCCACCAAACCACACCAAGTGGCTGCAGGGGGTGGAGGCCCAGAAACACCTGCCCCTGGCAGCTGCCTCCTGCTTTCAGGCGCGTGTCCAGCTCACTGGTCACAGGTGACAACGGACTGCCAAGTTCGCTTCAGGTCATGTGAGGACTGCCTAGAAGACAGAGGAGAGCAGCCATGGTCAGGGCCCTGGGGAGCCACCCGGAGAGTCTAAAACTGTAGCTCAGAAAGCTCTGATGCTAAGACCAGGCGTTCCTGGGCTGGAATTCTGTGTCTTTACTCACTAGCGTCTAGCTTGAGACTAGCTAGTTAGGTGTCTACCACCCAAGGAAGCAGCATGTAGCTCAGCGGTACCCGGGGAGCTGAGAGAATCCGGTACCCAGTAGATGCTCTGGTCGGGGGGTAAGAACGTGGTGGGCTCTCAGGAGGAGGCCATCTCTCTCCCCTTTAGAAGAGAAGCACAGCTTCACCAGCACCGGAGACTGGCTCTCACCAGCTGAGCAGCAGGGGACCATGGGCTCAGAGGAAGAATAAGGGCACATGACATGAACAGGATCCTGAAAAGGCACACAGTTCCACACCTCCCTAGACCCCCAGAACCCCAACACTCACAGCAGGTGACATTTCTCCTGAGTCCCAGTCAGGAGACAGCCTATGGTCTGGGAGAGGTTCCCCTCCGGGGACATAAAGAGCCCCGGGTGTCCCTCCTGGTGCCCTCACTGCCTCAGTCTCCTCTGCTCTACCTCTGGCTTCCTGTGATGCACATCCCCACCCCCTCCAAATTCCTCCTTCCTGGGGCCCACTGGCCATGCAACCAGGAAGACCGCTGTCCTCAGAGCCGCCCAGCAGGAGCCTGTGGCTACCAGATTGGGAAACTGCCCTCCTCCCCCACCCCAGGAGCACAGGGGGACATCCACCAAGATGTGCAAGATGAAGTTCAGGACAATCTCAAGTTAGGAGACACCGGCCCTGTCCTGGGACGCAGCTTTAAGGACTTGAGAAGACTCGAGTCTATCAAGGCTGCCAAGGACGCCTTCCAAAAGACCGGCCTTTTGTCACCCAGGCTGATCCCCAGGCAGGACAGAAGTGGCTACGGCCACCCCTGTGCCCAGCAGCGACCCCACTCCACAGATGCACAGCAGGGATCTGCTCTGCTCTCCTGTGCCACTCCAATGCAGGGATCTTTTTTTCTTCCTTTGTATTTTCTTAAAATGAACCCCATGTGCAGCTCAGCTTCGTGTACAGAGCACTTTCTCCTATAATTTCATCTGGCCCCCTGGTCCCGGAGAGCAGAGGAGTTTGGATGGAGGACAAGCCACAGCTCCCCAGCCCAGTGGCAACGGGGACCCCAGAGTGAGGGCTCAGTTGGTGTGGCTCGGGCCTCTTCGTTTCCCCAGTGGCACAGCCCAGGCCTGGGCAGATGCAGCCAGGGAGCCCAGGACCCAGAAGGAGAAAGGGGGCCTGGCAGAGCCCCTGACTCTGCCTGGACCTCAAGCCTGCCCCACAGCTCTCTCCATGCAGGGAGACTCCTGTGCGGCCATGGCCTCTCTTCCTGCGCTTGCCAGCCCCAGGCAGGGGCAGGGCGCCAGTGGAGAAGGTGCCTGTCCATGTCCTTCTGGGTCTGTGACTCTGATCTGACGCCTTGCTCCCTGGCTGCCACCTTGGGTCCCGGCACGGAGGTGGCAGCAGCAAGGGCTGAGGTGCCCTTTCTTCTGCGTTTGCCTCTCAGCACAGATCACTGATTTCATGATCACAGGCAATATCTCTGGGATAGGCTCACAGCTCCAGCCACACCCGGCTGGACATGGTACAGCCGTTATAGTCTGAGGCTGAAGAATACAGTCGAGGTGGACAGCTCTGCTGTTCCTGACCACAGATCATCAATCAGACACCTGATCCCTGATTGGCGTGAGGAAGAGGGTGACAGACACTCAGAGGATACAGGTACCCACAGGCCCACATGCTTCCCCTTGGGCCCAAATTAGCATCTCCGTCCTGCTGCAAGGCTCCAGCATGGAGCAGGGACAGGACACTCCAGGGCAGGAAGACGGGGAAGGGCAGCAACCAGATCCTCCACACACGACAGAGACAACGAACAGGAAACAAAAGCCAGAACCCACAAGTACCACACGCTGCAGCCCAGCCTTTCTGTCATTCAGGCACTTTCCATGCCTTGGGTTTCCAGAAGAAAGAATACTACACAGCAGTGAACCCCCTCATCCAAAATAGGAGCTGCGTGGGACGGGAGGTGTGGCTTTCGGCCTTGTCCCTCACCTGAGCCCGTCTGGGATGGTATCTGTCCACTGCTGGAGCAAAGACCTTCCTCAGCAGCTTGCTTAGGTGAGTAGGTGATGCTGAGTCGCAGACAGGGAGAAGAACACACACAGGAGAGCAAACAGAGGGACACGGCCCTGCCCTGTGACGATGCACTTGGAAATAAAAGATCTTGAGTGGAAGCAGAATTCTCAGAGTGCCCTGCACAGAGCAGGGCCTGTTCAGGACATAGAAAACAGATTACATCTGCCTGAATCTGAAAGGAAGGCTGGGTGGCCCCTTGCTCCTTGAATACGGACCAGTGTTTCCAGGCCGGCACTACAGGTCTGCTTATGCTGGCAGGCCGGAGGCAGATAACCCAGAAGACGCCAAGGAGCCTTCCCTACCCTGCTCAGACCAGCCCCACGGCTGGAATCCACCCAGTTCCACTCCCACCAGCCTCAGGCCAGGGCTTAAGAGATATTCTGGATGTACACCTGGAGGCTGCTTCCTCTGCCTGGGCGTTCTTCCCACCCCAATCCCACCCCCAAGCAGACACGGGACAGGGCTCTGCATAAGATAGTGTCTGCGTAAGAGATTCTGGGCAGAGGGAAAGGGACTTAAGACAAGGAAGTTTTCCAGCCCTCCGATTCCACAAGCGCACCTCTCTTCCTGGCATAGCTTCACGGCCTCAAGCATGCATACAAGCATGCATACAAGCAGTATTCATTTTCTAGCAAGAACTTCATGCAAGCGACAGGACTGGCTGGATAAAGAACAGCAAAGCCACCGTGTGGAATACTGTACAGCTGAAGAAAGACCAGCAAAGAGGGCTGCTTTTATAAACAAGGAGAGTTATAGCACATGGTTAAGTGAAAGATGTGTGAACACACACACACACACACACACACACACACACACAATCGGAGTCCTGGCAATGAAGGAGAAAAGACCAAAATCTGGGACTCAAAACAAAGAAGCGTCATGTTCTGTTTCTCTGCACCATGGAGACCCCACTGAGAAGAAAAGGCAAGCGTGCTGGTTTGCCCCCCCCTCCCTCCTACGCGGATGCAGCTCACGGGTCCACGTGGCTACCGCTGCTTCCACCTGCACCCAGAACACATCCAGCGTCCAGCCCGGCCATGCACCCCGGTCGCCAGGGGCTCAAGCTCTGCTCGCAGCCCCCTTGGCGCCGGGGCCTTTGTCCAACACAGAGCTTTTCTGGAAGATGTGCCTTTCCCTCTCAGTCTTATTAATCACCCAGCGAGAGTCTCCACCGCCACCCAGCCGCCGCCAGCAGCCTCGGTGTTCATCGCACCCAGGGCTTCTCCCGAGCTCACCCGGCGTGCTGGGGGCAGTGCCAGAACTGCAAGACTCCAAGCTTGGCGTCTCTGCGGGGCGGTGGTTTGGCCTTCCATCCACATGTTCTCAACCCGCTGAGCTCCTTCTAGAGAGTTCCAACATTCACCCAAGGGGACTCAACATGCTCCCCATGTCCCAGCAGCTGACTGAGAGCCCTTGTCAACATCACCCGTCTGCCTTCCGCGTCTCCTCCTTCCCCTCCAAGCGCTGGGCAGCCCTGCCCTGCTCCCCGCACTGACCACACACCTCCCTGTCTCCATCTTGTTCCTGTATTCAAGGCCGCACACTCCTGGCGTCTCGTTTGTCTTTGTACTGTCACTGGATTAAAGGAACAGGGCACAGAGTGGGTGCTCAGTGAAGCAACTGTCGCTCGATCTCCAGCAAGGCCAGCGCCTGACCCACACTTGCACTGGATGGCTAACACAGCCTCCAGCTGGTGTTCCTGGGGGTCTCTTCCTCAAGGCCCTGCTTTGGGGAGCTGAGGATGAGAAGCAGGAGGTCTAGCCCTACAAGAACCCACCCACCCATTGAGGAGGTCAGAGATTCAGAAAGACTTATCGCCCGCTCCCTGACTTGCGGGGGAGGGGGAGTTGCCAGCCTGGGGGGGGGGGGCTAGGCCTTCAGGAGAAGGGTGATCCAGGAATGTTTGAGTGGGGCGTGGCTCGAGTTACCAACCTGGCTGAGGCAGACTGCCTGGAAAGAAGGGAGATGGCGGGGATAAAGGCCAGGCATGGATGGGGCAGAAAGGTCAGGCCTGGGCCTGTCTGACGGGCTGTGAGGCTTGTGGACAAGGCGTGGCTTGGGGTGGAGGGGACAAGCCACGCCGAGAGGCTAGGGGCGGAATAGCCTCCCTGTCCCTCAGGCCAGAGGCCTCTGCTGCCCCAGGAGCCAGATAAGATAGCACTGGGCAGGCCCTGAGGCCCAAGGACGGGCTCAGATGCAGGAGTCCACCTTGGCTGCCGCGCTGGACCTGGGGCCTCTGCCTCCGGCCATCTCCTTCGCCCGCCAGCTTTCGGCCATGTACGACCTGTGTCCTACAAGGCCGTTCCCAGTCAAGCGCTGACCACCAATCCTACTGCCCGTCCACAAATGGGGCCAGTGAGGACCCTGAACGACCACCGGGACCAGAGGTCTCAGATTCTGAGCAGGAGGGAACTATGTGCAGCAGCAACCTCCCTGGTCCCTGTGAGACACACAGAGCCACCTCTTCCTCTTGGCTGGACCAGTTTACACGGAACATGGAGCTGAGACGGGCCAGTGTCCCATAGAGGATCTGTTGTTCGTTGTTGAAGTGACTCTCTTATTGAGACCCGGGAAGAGCAACCCAGGCCTGGGGGAGCCCCCAGGGAGCAGCTGCCCCAACAGCTCTCTGTGGCCATCCATTAGGCCCGAGAGCTCAGGGACATACTGTCTGCCCCCAGCACCCTCCCAATGGGAAACAGCATTCACTGTGGCCCTGAGTGACTTGCTTTTATACAAGTAAGAAACCTGTATGACGTGCCAGCTCAAAGGTAGATAAATAACGGAGCGAGAAACCCACGCCCTGCCTAACTGTGGCACAGGCCACCTGCTCCCAGGGCATACTCAGCCCTGCTTGACATTGGCACACGGGACAGCCTCATTCACATGAGGGACTGGGGACTGGAATGAATGCCAACCCGGAAGCCAGCGGGTGCAAGGCTGTGACCTTGGGCCCAACAGAGCAGACCCAGAGATCCCCACATGTGGCTTAGCAGATTGGAGTGGGAGCCCCCGCCCCCTCCCTCCCCACCCCAGTTAGAACCAGGAAGAGGCCATGGGAGGGGCACCAGACTAGAAGAAGACACACGCATCCCCAGAGGTGTGCCACATCAGGAGAAGCAGAAGGTGCCAGCTCTCGGGAGGACACGGCCTTTGAAGTGCAGACTCCCTGCCCGGACTCCCTCTATCTGTCCCTTGGTCAACAGCGGTTCAAGGCCACCTGAGATAGTCCTAGTCTGCTTCCCGCCCAGAACAAAACCCAGTCCCCTTCCAAAAGGACTTGCAGCTCTGCAGATCTGCTCATAAACCATGCTGTGCCCACTCACTTCCTTCAGGAAGAAGTTGGGGTTTGTTTGGGGAAAAGATTCCTTTGTTTTTCTCCTGCTTTTTTGGTACATTCTGAGGAACAAAAGCACCCGCTATTCCCAGCAGAAAGCTATCAAGTATTCAAAACCAGGCCAGCCCTCCCCTCCGACCTGTCCCCCTCTCTTTCTTCTAGTGGCCTGCTTTCTTTACAGCCGAAGATGTGTGCTCTGGAGCTCCGCCTTTCTTCTGTGGACTTTAAAACCACTTGTCAGGACACAGTGTTCTGTTTCTTTATAAATTGTACCTATACACATGCAATCCCATGTTCTTAAGAGCAAAACCAAGTCCTTGAGTTGCCCGATTTGAAAGCAGAAATGCCTCTGGGGCCAAATTCCATTCATAGTCCACAAAATCTCTGAAGAAAAAATCTAAAGATCTGAAATGCTGGGGTCCCTTTTGCCCGTCTCGGTCTCACTTAAGTTTATAAAGTGGCCAAGTTTGAGTAGCTTCCACCAACTTCCCAATGTGGAATTGGAAACAGGAGTTCTGTGCCCCAAACCAGCACACAAAAAGCCACTGTTCTGATTAAGTAGGGGGTTTTGTGTTTTCTTTTCTTTTCTTTTTTCCTCCATCCAGCAAGCCTATTCCCCGCCCATTCTGAGCTTGATTAGAACTCATAATACATTCTCAACTCCGAAGACTTGCTCTTACTACAGGGCAGTCACCCCCAAACTCTTGATTCAGTGACATGCAAGCAAACTACCTTGGAAAATTTCTGGAACTTAAAAAAATATATATGAGTGCAAATGCCTGACCCTTAAAAAAATAAAAATAAAAATAAATAAAACTCCTGACAGGCAGCAAAATGCAATGCAGGCCAGTCTCAGTTTTCCTGGGCTTCTGCGGGGTCCCCAGAGCCTGCACCCTCCCCCGAGGGCCCCCCCCAGGAAGCCAGCAGTGTGACACATTCAAGTGTTTACGGGAGGGAGAGCAAGGGAAAAAGAGCAAATTGTTTCCAAACCACAGCCCCATGGGCAGCGCTGCACCCAGGAAAAGCTTTTGCATCCCGGGCCGGCTCTGATTATCCCAAGCCAGCGATTTATCCAGTTAAAAATCTATGGAAAGTTAAGCAGGGAAACCAGAGCCCTGCTCTCCTTTCTAGTCCTGTCTATTTGAGCTCCGAGTTTTCCTGGACTGAAATAAAGGCATACAAAGGCAGCATCTGTGTTTTAAAAGGAAAGAAGAAAGTTACCACATTGAGGCTTGGCAGACTCAATTCCCAGAGATGTCACTGCCCCAATACCTTCAAATGGTTCTAAGCATTTAAGGAGGCTCAGTGCCCTCAGTAGAAAAAAAGCTAATTAATTCTGTTGTAAGCAAATGAATGGAAATGGAGAAGAGAGGAGAGGAGAGGAGAGGAGAGGAGAGGGGGCCAGCTGGTCTGACTTTTACAACTTCTCTTTCTCCCTGGAAGTTGTGCATCTTAGCCAAACACACACTCCCGCCCCTCCTCTCCCCCCCTCAAACTGTCATGCATGCTCACCAAGCCCAGCAAAATTCACATTTTACCTGGAAAGTCTACGTGAAGTTGGACTGAGCACTTTCTAAGACAGCAAGAAATACTCAGGTTAGCAAGGATGCCAGTAGGAGCAAGAAGACGGGACTGTGTAGAGCACTCCTGTTCCAGCCTCTGGGCTGCAGGATCTTAACGGCGCAGAGCACGAAGTTTGAATTGAGTCTGCGATCATTCACAAAGAATACATTCAGAGAAACTTTCAGTCCCGGGTTCTAGTCCACTGAACAATGCCTCTTGGGAGAAGGTCTCTCTTCTGCCATGCTGTGTGCACAGCCAGTTCTACACCACACTCGGGACAGGTCAGCAGTGCCATCGAGCGACTCCTCTGCGCCCCCGGGCAGGCAGGATGGCCGCTGCTCCTCAGCAGGGATCCTCTGCTAGCTGGTGCTGAGGCCTCCACAGCCACAGACACACACCAGAACCTCAGATCTCTCCAGTTCCACCCCCCCCCCCGCCCACCGCCCCAACACCCCCCCCCGCCCCCCCCCGCCCACCGCCCCAACAAGTGACTAAAGAAAACTTCTGCAAGGAGACGCGAAGCCCCAAATGAGCTCAACCCTTAGCAACACGCAGCCTGCCCTTCAGAACCAGACGCCAAAGCACCCAGAAACCAGCACCCAGAAACTCCGCTGGAAAGGCTGGAGTGACTACAAGCAGCTCAGCCGGCCCTCCTCCCCCTCTCGTCCCTCGCTGCCGCAGCACCGCACAACACCCCCACTTTGGTACCCCAGTCTCTTACCTCCTGGCTGGCTGAGCCGCCTTCCTGGCTGTGAGCTGTTGAGCTGGCTCGCGGGCTCCCTCCGTGCTCAGCAGTTTTGTGGCAACTGTGAGCGCCGGGGCCGCAGGCCTGCGTTATATACACTGCAGAGAGGCGCCTCTAGGTGGCAGCTTTGTAACCCTCATCTGCGGCCTGCAACACCCCCCCCCCCCCCCCATCCTGCATGCACACTCCTGCACGCACGCACACTTGCAAACCTTGCTCCTCTCTTGTTTTCCTGCACTCTGGGGAAACACCGGCCTGCCTTCACTCACAAAGTCTAAATGCAAGCACTAGGTCTAGACCCCATGGTGGGGAAATGTCAGCAGAAGAAAGAAGCCGCACTGCTCTGCCCTGACATCGGATATCGATCTGCTCTCAGGTATATCTTTCATAATCCCATTAACATCCCCAGTGCCTTTGAATGCCTGTAGCTCAACTGAAGACTTTGTCCCAAGATAAATTACCCTGAACTTCTGAACTGCTGTGTTGATATCATTAAGCCTGCTCTTTCCTTGTTAATTCCACCAAGAAAAAAAGTCTCTGTATTTTGCTATGAGCAAGTAATAGATCCTGCCAATTAATATAACCCAGAAGTACAGAAACGCATCTTTATGACAGATTTCATTTAAATGCTCCTATTTGCAAAGATCTTGCAGTTATAAAATCCTTGAGAATCTACCAGATGACCTTCTACAGGGCCTGCCCAGTGCCAGACACACAGTAAAAGCTAATCAACCAAAGGCTGTGATAAGGTCCCCTCCCAGGTGAGTCCAGCAAACACTTCATTATTGTCATTATTACTGTAATTAAAACCTGCATTCTTATCTAGAAGTGTATTGTTAAAGTTGTCAGTTGGGGAATCCAGCCAAAACAATGTGTAATACTCATTTCTAATGTTCCATTTGGTAACATCACCCACAAGACATCACCGGGACTTTCACTTTTAACCCCCCCCTGCTGCTCTAATGTGGGGCCTGCCTGCCTCCCTCCCTCCCATCCCCCCTCCCTCCTCCTTCCTCCCTCCTTCCTCCCTCCCTTCCTCTCCCTCTTCTTCCCCACAGCCATGGGCAAGGCTGGCTTTCATGTTGCTCTCTTGCTCTCCTGGAGTTCTTCAAAACCAGGATGTGGAGGCAGTTGCTATAGGCAGTTTCTCCTGAGCTAAGACTTTCTAAGATTCTTTTATACATCCACTGAGAACGACAACAGACCATTAAATGCCAGATCTGGAATCCTGGAGGTGAGAGTCTGCACAGAAACCGTCTAGAAGAAGAAGCTGTTTAGACGAAAGCTTGGCGCGTTACTCTGGGGGCCGGGACCCCATCTGTGGGGACGCGAGGTGCGGGCCTGCTTCCCTGCCCTGCAGTGCCGGGGGCAGCATTGGTGGGGTGCGGGCCTGCTTCCCTGAGTGCCGGGGGCAGCATTGGTGGGGTGCGGGCCTGCTTCCCTGAGTGCCGGGGGCAGCAGCAGTGGGGTGCGGGCCTGCTTCCCTGAGTGCCGGGGGCAGCAGCAGTGGGGTGCGGGCCTGCTTCCCTGAGTGCCGGGGGCAGCTGTGGGGTGCGGGCCTGCTTCCCTGAGTGCCGGGGGCAGCTGTGGGGTGCGGGCCTGCTTCCCTGAGTGCTGGGGGCAGCGGTGGGGTGCGGGCCTGCTTCCCGGCCCTGCTGGGGGCAGCACTGGTGGGGTGCGGGCCTGCTTCCCGGCCCTGCTGGGGGCAGCACTGGTGGGGTGCGGGCCTGCTTCCCGGCCCTGCAGTGCTGGGGCAGGCCGCTGGGCCTCCAGACCCCCGCCCCTCCCCGCTCCCTGCCCACCCGCCCAGGCCTCTCCCTGCTCTGCTGAGTGTTCTGGGGCCAGGCCCAGTCTGGGGGGTGGGGGCCGCTTGGGGGAAATCCAAGCAGATAGGGAGCGCAGGAACCCCATCTCCCTGTCTCCTCAATGGCTCAGACAGACAGAACCTCAGATGGCACCCAAGAAATGAACCCCGGGGTGCGGTACCCAAGGAAACCTGAGCCTAGCCCCGCACCCACCCAGCCCTCACCATGCCCCGCACACCCAGCCCGCACCATGCCCCATACCTCATCCAGCCCCGCACCGAACCCAGCCCCACGCCCAGCCCGCACCAGGCGGCACCCAGCCACACACCAGGTCTACCCAGCCCCACATCGCACCTAGGCCGCACCCAAACCCGCACCCAGGCCACACAAGCCACATCCAGCCCACACCGTACCCAGCCCCAGCCCGCACCAGGCCCCGCACTCAGCCCACCCCGCTTGGCCAGCGCAGCCCTTGGAGCCACACTGGATCCTTACCCAGCCCTGCACTCCGGAAGGACTGGTCCACGGTCCGCCTCCGCACCGGCCTCCGCACGGCCTCCGCGAGCACCTCCTCCGCACCGACCTCCGCACCTCCGGGAGCACCGGCCTCCGCACCACCTCCGCTCTGCCTCCGCACCGGCCTCCGCTCCGCACCGGCCTCCGCACCGCCTCCGCTCTGCCTCCGCACCGCCTCCGCACTGGGCTCTGCACCGGCCTCCGCACCCGGCCTCCGCACCGGCCTCCTCACCGGCCTCCGCACCGGCCTCCACACCGGCCTCCGCACCGCCTCCGCACCAGCCTCCGGGAGCACCAGCCTCCGCACCGGCCTCCGCACCGGCCTCCGCACTGCCTCCGCACTGGGCTCTGCACCCGGCCTCCGCACCCGGCCTCCGCACCGGCCTCCGCACCGCCTCCGCACCCGACCTTGCGCCCTCCAGGCCCCGCCGGCCCCCCCTGCGGATGGGGCTGTGCGAGGCCCCGAGCCCGGCGCTCCGCCCCGCGCAGAAAGAAGTCCGGGCGAGCGGCGAACCCGCGACCCCTCGAAAGGAAATCCGGCCACGACCCGGCAGGCAGGGAGGGAGGCACCGCCCCGCTCCGCAGCTCCTGGCCCGCCTCTTCCAACCGGACCGGACCGGCATCACTGCACGTGCCGCCGCGGCCGTCCTGGAGGGCGGGGAGGCGGGGAGGCAGGGGTGCGGGGTGCGGGGTGCGGGCCTCCCCGCCTGGGCTCTGTCCAGATCCGGCTGGAATCACCCGCACCTGCTCTCCTCCCGCACGGGGGCCGTGTGTGTGTGCGCGCACGCGTGTGTGCATGCATGTGCGCAAACTAGTGCTTCACCTCGGGGCCTGGGGGCTGCGCCCTCAGCTTTTCTGCCCGGGGCTGGCACTCTACCACGTGGGCCACAGCTCCCCTCCCAGGTTTGTGCTGGCTAATTGCAGATCAGACTCTCAGGACTTCATGACCTGGCTGGCGTTGCCCTGTGATCCTCCGTCCTCAGCCTCCCAAGGAACTCAGATTGTAGGCGGGAGCCAGCTCCCTCCTGGCAAGGGCCTTGTAGGTCGCTGGGTGGCTGTCAGTGTTAAGGAGAACGGTGGAGGGTCGTCCCAGGGTCCCCGGCCGGCCACTTCCCCTCCCTCTCCCAGTGTCCTGAGCGGATCTCCAGTGTGGCCTGTTGCTGCTTGCTGTCTGTCTGCTGTCTCCCTGGACTGTGAGCCGCCAGCGTTATTCCAATTTCATCTTCGCAACAGCCACAAAAGATGGCGCTGTTTTCATCCCGCTTATGTAAAGGGCAGGAAGGCCGTGCAGCCTGCCAGGGAGAGAACAGAGTGGGACCGGCTGGCTGGCCAGACCCAGGCCTCTGTGCACCCGTGCCATGTGCTCCTGTTTGTTCAACAGAAGACAAACCTTACCAGAACAAAGACAAACAACTGAAAGAACGCATGTCAGAGGCCAGGAGAGCTGTGCTCAGAGCCATGCTGGGGTCCAGGCCAGCGCCAGAAAGGAAGGGAAGGAGGGAGGAAGGGAGGGAGGGAGGGAAGGGGGGAGGGAAAACAGGGAGAGAACAAAAGAATCTGCTATGTGAGTTGGCTTTTTAAAGCCACTAAGCTAAGGGTTTACGAATGACTGACTAAGCAGAAAGCACCCCAGAAGAAGCTAATGGGAAGGAAGAAGGGAAGGTGGGGATGGGAGGTGAAGGAATGGGAAAGCAGGGGATGAAAAGTGGAGCAGAGGGAATGAGACCTAATTTAGCTTTTGCCTAAAGAAAGTTCTTTCAGGTTCTCATAGCCAGTGTTCTCAAGCCACACACACACATGATAAGAAGCAGCTTTAGTTCTTAGTTTTCTTCTTGAATTTCCAACTCACTGCAGTATGAAGCAAGGTTTCACTGGGGATACCCAGCCCCAAGCTGGTACCTGGGGTACCCCCTTATTCAAGTGGGACATATCTGAACCAGTGCACACACAGGCCTGGCAGTCAGGCCATGAGCCCAGCAAGGTGAAACTTCCAGCCAGGCCTCCAATGGCCCCGCACACCTCCCTGTCTAGCCTCTTGGCTCATGAATAACTCTTCTTTGTGGCACTGCCAGGCCCCAAACAGGGGTGTAAATGGGCACAGCCGCTTTGCTGGCACTTACTGAAGTGAGGTGTGTACACTCAGGGCCCCACTGTGCTATACCCACTCAAAGCTGTAAGTATCGCACCAAAAAGAAATGCTTTTTTAAAAGTATTGTCAACACTCCTCATCAGAGTTCCAGGGCACCAGGCACCAGTGACTCACGCCTGGAATCCTGGCTACTCAGGAAGCCAAGATCGGAGGATCTTGGTTCTAAGCCAGCCCCAGCTTAAAAAAAAAAAAAAAAACATGAGATTCTTATCTCCATTGAACCAGCAAAAGGCTAAAAGCAAAGATATGGTTCAAGTGGTAGAGCACCAGCCTTGAGCAAAAAAGTCAAGTGCCCCTGAACCAGCACAACACACACATAGCCCCAAACCAACAATGATCCAACCTTATTGAAAAATAACCTAGACATAAAACTCCATTTTCAAACATGCAAAACAACTATAATAACATACACAATCTCTAGTGACCAGGTCAGGCCTATCACTGAAAGGCAAAGCTGTTAAGTTGGACACTGGAGTATCAATATAGCACTTGACAAAAGTTGAGGTTAAGTCTCGATCATAACTTCCAGCGTGCTAAGAATAAAATGATTCTCACTTATTCCCTTAATTTGAGGAAGCACATGAAAA